TCTGATACAGAGCAAAATTCATGGTTGCTTCTATTAAGGCAAGTCGTCCAGGTCCTGAGGCAGCAAAGCATCCCCAAAACATCACACCACCACCACCATGCTTGACCTTTGGTATGATGTTCTTACTGTGGAATGCAGTGTTTGGTTTTCGCCAGACATAATGGGACCCATCTCATCATTCTTGTGTTGCAAACCACAACTATTGTCTCATAACTTGAGTTGAATGCTAAACAAGAATGTTATCAATAGTATTATCAAAGACTTTTATAACTAACCAAGATAGACCGGAGACTGTCTTTTCAAATGGGAGCAAACTGGGCCTCACCATATTTGGTAGTGAGTGGAAAGGCCAACCGGATGCTTCACATTTATACATCCGGTGAAATATCTGTCTCATTGTTCTATCTGTGGTATTATCAACTGAATTACCCCAAATGCAAAGCGCTTTGAGGCAAAGTGTTGATTAGATGGAGTACAAAGGAGATAAACATATTGTATAGAACTTAAATATTAATTTCTCTGTTGTGAGGAGCAGAGAATTGGGGCATTACATTTCTATAGGCCGTTGATGACCAAACCTGGGTTGAAATCTTTCCAGTACTTTGAGCATTTGCTTTAGCCTGCCTGGAGTGCAAGGTATGAGGGGTTTGCACTTTTGAGACTTTTCTATTGGTTCCATTTCAACAGGCAACCGACAGTGGGGAGAATAAGTATTTGATACACTGCCGATTTTGCAGGTTTTCCTACTTACAAAGCATGTATAGGTCTGTAATTCTTATCATAGGTACACTTCAACTGTGAGAGACAGAATCTAAAACAAAAATCCAGAAAATCACATTGTATGATTTTTAAGTAATTAATTTGCATTTTATTGCATGACATAAGTATTTGATACCTCAGAAAAGCAGAACTTAATATTTCGTATAGAAACCTTTGTTTTCAATTACAAGAGATCATACGTTTCCTGTAGGTCTTGACCAGGTTTGCACACAATGCTGCAGGGATTTTGGCCCACTCCTCCATACAGACCTTCTCCAGATCCTTCAGGTTTCGGGGCTGTCGCTGGGCAATACGGACTTTCAGCTCCCTCCAAAGATTTTCTATTGGTTTCAGGTCTGGAGACTGGCTCGGCCACTCCAGGACCTTGAGATGCTTCTTACGGAGCCACTCCTTAGTTGCCCTGGCTGTGTGTTTCGGGTCGTTGTCATGCTGGAAGACCCAGCCACGACCCATCTTCAATGCTCTTTCTGAGGGAAGGAGGTTGTTGGCCAAGATCTCGCGATACATGGCCCCATCCATCCTCCCCTCAATACGGTGCAGTCGTCCTGTCCCCTTTGCAGAAAAGCATCCCCAAAGAATTATGTTTCCACCTCCATGCTTCACGGTTGGGATGGTGTTCTTGGGGTTGTACTCATCCTTCTTCTTCCTCCAAACACGGCGAGTGGAGTTTAGACCAAAAAGCTCTATTTTTGTCTCATCAGACCACATGACCTTCTCCCATTCCTCCTCTGGATCATCCAGATGGTCATTGGCAAACTTCAGACGGGCCTGGACATGCACTGGCTTGAGCAGGGGGACCTTGCGTGCGCTGCAGGATTTTAATCCATGACGGCGTAGTGTGTTACTAATGGTTTTCTTTGAGACTGTGGTCCCAGCTCTCTTCAGGTCATTGACCAGGTCCTGCCGTGTAGTTCTGGGCTGATCCCTCACCTTCCTCATGATCATTGATGCCCCACAAGGTGAGATCTTGCATGGAGCCCCAGACCGAGGGTGATTGACCGTCATCTTGAACTTCTTCCATTTTCTAATAATTGCGCCAACAGTTGTTGCCTTCTCACCAAGCTGCTTGCCTATTGTCCTGTAGCCCATCCCAGCCTTGTGCAGGTCTACAATTTTATCCCTGATGTCCTTACTCAGCTCTCTGGTCTTGGCCATTGTGGAGAGGTTGGAGTCTGTTTGATTGAGTGTGTGGACATGTGTCTTTTATACAGGTAACGAGTTCAAACAGGTGCAGTTAATATAGGTAATGAGTGGAGAACAGGAGGGCTTCTTAAAGATAAACTAACAGGTCTGTGAGAGCCAGAATTCTTACTGGTTGGTAGGTGATCAAATACTTATGTCATGCAATAAAATGCAAATTAATTACTTAAAAGTTATACAATGTGATTTTCTGGATTTTTGTTTTAGATTCTGTCTCTCACAGTTGAAGTGTACCTATGATTAAAATTACAGACCTCTACATGCTTTGTAAGTAGGAAAACCTGCAAAATCTGCAGTGTATCAAATACTTGTTCTCCCCGCTGTATATCAATTACAGATACAGTGAATGATTTCAAATAGTATTTGAACACAGATCTGTTGATGACAAGGGCCAAAATACAGCATCCTATGTAATGGCTCTCTATCTCCTCTGTAGGCCTGTCTGTGTCACACAAGATGGAGAAGAGAGGAAATCCGCTGCAACACGTGTCACCATCCCAAACCCACCACTCAAATATGACCATGACTTTCCTGAATACCAGAGGCGATTTTAGCATGTCAATCTTGGTGGAGCAAACTCCCCATGTGTTTTTTTGATGCATGCCAGCAAAGCCACTACACAACACAACACAACACTAAACAATACATTAATTGCACTATAACAGTGACAAATGGTGCCCACAAACTGTTAGGGCCTACATAAAGCTGTCCCAGCAGCAGAGCTTTCTTTTCAGCACCATGAAGTGAATCCTTACCACTGCTACACCTGGCTATCAGCGGAGCCTTGTCTGGCAGCGAAACAGTAAATTAAGCCTCATTACCTGCCTTTTAAAAAAACATAGCTGATGTGTCTGATATGGTAATTTCGATTAAGACATTAATGAGCATGCTAGGATGGACGTAGTGAATATAACTATTTGTTCAGCACTATTGAAATGTACAGTGACAGAATTCAGAAGATGGCCGTTCTTACAGTATTCTCCCTGTACACCAAGTCAGAACCGTAGGATAAATAAAGGGGGCATATAAGCAGACAATGAAAGCTCTTACAATATTCAATGATTACATTTCTCTAAAACAGGCTATAGACTACATGTGCACCACCAAGTCAGAACAGTAGGCTACGTTATGAGGGGGAAAGGGACCAAATTATTAGGGTGAAGGACATGGGCTAGTAACAGCTTACTACACAATATACACTTAGCATTACTTCCTTAGCTACAGTATCTCCCTGGCGTATTACATAATTTATGCAGCAGCATACAATACATTTCTGGACACCTTGTTGTGCTGTGCTCACTTGAACAGGAAGGTGGCACGGCATCAAAGTGGCATTCTCTGGATTTATGGTGTTTTCAAGACAACTGGGAACTTGGAAAAAAACAAGGTCGAATCATGATGTCAGTGATCTTCAGGTCGGAGCTCTAGAAAGAGGCAGAGTTCCCGACTTGGAATTCCGAGTTGGATGACCATTTAAAGCGTATTTTCCCAGTCGGAGCTTGTTTTTTTCAGAGTTCCCAGTTGTCTTGAACTCACTGAAGTCTGAGATTTCCCAGTTCCGAGTTTCCAGTTGTTCTGAACACGGCAGAAGTCATGCTGGATTGACAGCATGGTCAATGTATTCCACCTTTTCTGGCCCATGGTGTTGAATGTTTATCCTTTTAAGCTTGGAAAAGAGACCCTTAAACCCAGACTTGGACCACACACCCACTCCACTGAATAGCATGCTAGTGATTGCTTTGCAACGCTTGCAGTCAGCCACTAATTCCTTCCAAACCACTCATTGTTGAATTTGCGATTTCCAACTTGTTGTGTAATGTTTATGTCCAAAGGCCGATGAGCACCGATACGTTTTATCTATAATTTCTCTTCATATGACAAGGATTGAAAAGGATTTGCCAGTAGATTGTCGACGTGATTCATGATGATGACTGCATGTCTGGCTTGCTAGCTAAGATTTTGAAAGTATGATGTTGACATGATCAGTCCAATCAAAGCTACGGTAGATATAACGTGATTTGATGTCGTTTTATCTGTGGCCAATGACCTTGAGCCTTCTTGAATGGGCACTTCTATTGTAACTCTATGGTAGCATCCAAGGCGCTTGAATTTTCGAGCTCTCTCCGTAGATTTTGCCGTGACGTAGTGTCCCCTTGAGTGACAGAACACTGAGCCAATCAGGGCGCTATTAGGTTACATTACCAACCCCTAAACTCCGTATTTTCCACTGGCTGCCCCACTACCACAGAAAGCACTGAGCTAGGCTGAAATACCTGCATTTTGGAGCTGCCTTACTCAAGAAAGCAAAAAAGAGACCATGTTTGTATGCGGCTTTATTAACTGAATGATATTTATATAAAACAGGCCCCACCTGCCCTGAATGACGGGTCGCCACTGCTCAATACAACTGCAACTTTAAAGCAATATAGTGTTTGTGTTTGAATTAAGATAAAGGATTGAGACGTGAACTCTGCTGCCACCCACAAGATGCAGTAGTGATGCAGTCCAGAGAATGTGGTGTTTTTTATCATTAATCAAAATGAAAGTACTACTGTTAGATTCATACTGTTACAGTAAGGTCACCGTAGTTCCGTTTTATTGATGTTCCAATTCACTTTCACTACTGCATTTGTAGTTCATTTGGTGTTCAGCAGCATAAGTGTCTGACCACTAAAGAGAACGCATATTCTACAGGTAGGAGATTTATTAACTAACAATATCTCTGTACTGCTATTCTCTCTCTCTTAGATGAGGATAACTCTGAACTATTTGAGTTAGCAAACCAGCAGTGAACAATGAAGTAATTATGGTTCAACTGTAGCATTGTGTCAAAAATAGCTATATTTAGTTAGCAAGGGGAAGTGTGACTGTGGGGGGCCTAGAAACGGACTTAGAAACTGACAGCAGGAGTAAAGATAAGATCATGCCAAAGTTCAGAAGGGATACACGACGACTACAGTACTATCACTTCTTGTCTTCATAACAAAGTACATTTTATATTTGTCTCATCCACCATTCAGGTCAATCAACCAATCTGTGTCACGCACCATGGGAAGATGTATTGACGGTGCGTACCTGAGCTATATTTTATAAAGTATTAGCAACGTTACAATCTGACGACATTACAGAAGCCTCACAATAGGTGTTTAACGTACCAGCAAATCTGATGCCCGACCGTGCAGTCGACGACGTGGCACCCAACCATTGGTTGATGCAATGTAGTCAGTCTGGAATGTAACCCTTCTAACATGACATCATAACTCCATATATATATTTTGCACCACTTTAGAGAACAGTTAGTCATGATATGGCCGTGCTGTTGATGATAACTGAAGGGTAGGGAAAACAATGACTGACACGTGTCTGTTTATTAATGTACAGGATTATAAATGTCTACATTTATAAAGGTTTATAAAATGTAACGATTTTATATCATCATGCTATGCAACCATAGACAGGACATGAAAAAAAATGTGTGCTGTCTAATCCCGCAGTTTGCATGCTGGTCTTATGGGTTCCAGTTTGTGTGACCTTCATTGTCTTGGGTAAGTAGCTAGTAAGAAATCATTTATATCTCCATCATACCGCATCACCCTTCATCCACATAACTCCTCTACTTCTCCACATAGGTGCTGTGTACATTGATGACTGCCCAGTGAAACGTGTCATCCCTGTCCACATGATCATTTCTGGATCTTTCGGTCTCCTCTATGCATTCTCTTCCTGCTACAAGGACCGTGTTGTGTGCCAACATTTGTCTAAACTATTTTGGTTCATGATCATCGTCTGGTGCATTATTGGTAAGAGACATCAAATTACGAAACATGTGTCCCGGTTTGAATACTTTTAATGTGCTTCCTTCCTCACACCTTTCCTCCCTCCTTTCCTCCCTCCTTTCTTTAAGGTAATCACTGATCTGTTTCTGTAAAGTATTGCTTCTACCAATCCGACATTATCAGCTAAGTGATTACTTCACTGAAGAGAGGAAGGAAGGAAGGAAGGAGTAATTTAATGTACTGAAACTGGGCCGTGTTCTTCCTATCTTAGAGGTCATTCCACGTCATTTCAGCAACCCATGACAGCTACCATCTCAGATTGTTCTGAAATCATTTCTGTAGTTAGAAACAGATACGATTAGCATTTCTGCAACATTGTTTTGTTGAAATATAATTTGATCTCTGAGAAGATAATTGATTGCACCCAAATTGGCCATTTTAATTTATATTATTCTTATAATATTCTATAAATATAGTCTGATTTGAACCCAACTTTTTTCTAACTTAGCCTTAACTCGACACTGCACAAAAGTACACAAGATCTCTCAAACTGCATACATTGATTATATTTCCTACCACTTTGTCTACAGGCCATAATTGGATCTTCTCTGTATTCCAGCCCAACTACGAACGGAAAGGGATCATCGGCTACACATACTGCAAAAAATCTCTATACATCTTTGCGGCTTCTACCACCATCATATTGGAAATCTTTTTAATTGGGCGGCTGCTTGGGTTGTTCAGTGTTTGTAAGTTGTTCATGCTTTGTCTGGTCTGCTGTGTCTCTTTATGCAAGTCTGATGATGTCAAACCTGATCAGGTTGTTGAGCCTTTGAGGTGTGTGGAGACTGAGAGGTGTGTGGGGACTGACGGAAGTGTGGGGACTGAGGTGTGTGTGGGGACTGACGGAAGTGTGGGGACTCAGGTGTGTGTGGAGACTGAGGTGTGTGTGGGGACTGACGGAAGTGTGGGGACTGAGGTGTGTGTGGGGACTGACGGAAGTGTGGGGACTCAGGTGTATGTGGAGACTCATGAGAGTGTGGGGCATGACGAGAGTGTGGGGACTAAGGAGTATGTGGTAACTGAGCAGAGTGAGTCCAACACTGCTCATTATTAATGCCATTCACTATTCACAATAGTCATTTACATGAATTTGTCTCCTTTGGGGGGTGAGATAATATAATAATGTAGATGTCATCATAAACAAATAAGCAACAATGGGTAAATTGGTGCCATTATGTTGCCAAATATCAGAAGATTAAAATAAAAATACAAATTCCCACTTTGACTTTCAAGATTTAAAATGTACCTTGGTAGACAATATTATTGTTACCATTGTTGAGCAGAATTATAATCATTTGGCTAATAGGCTGCTGTTCCACTTCACAGACACCCCCCTAAAATAGTTTAGTGGAACAGCCCATCAATCAAAAGGCACACCTGAAGAAAATGGACTGGTGTGTTAAAAGGCCGACTTCTGGTCCCATTCTGCCCCTGCTGTAATTCGTAATTCATTACAATTATAATAACTCATTGGATCAAATTGTGTGATGATCATCTTAGTCCTTGACAAATAGTAGGCCTAAGCTTATGGATCTACTGTCTGTTACCAATATCAGCAATAAAATAATAATAATAATATGCCATTTAGCAGACGCTTTTATCCAAAGCGACTTACAGTCATGCGTGCATACATTTTTGTGTATGGGTGGTCCCGGGATCGAACCCACTACCTTGGCGTTTCAAGCGCCGTGCTCTACCAGCTGAGCTACAGAGGACCACAAATATAAGCAGCATCTTGTTTACTTGGAATGAACAGAGCACATAATGCAAATGAATACAAGTCAGACAGAGATTAAACCGAAGATTGAATGTTTTATGGCTCAATTTAATTGATCAAATGTGTGTTGTGTTCTTTCACAATAAACAGGCCAGGGCTTCTAGGCTGGTGTGTTTCATTTGACCTACTCTACATTTGAGTTGGCATAATTCAAATGGTTGCCAATCTATTCAAATGAAGTTGTGCTGCCTAACTGTAACATTGTAAATTGTCAGGTCGGCCTTAAAGGTTCGATAAGGTAGGCAACGGTAGCTTGTGATCTCGGCCGCTTTCAGTCGCTTGCAGCACCAGACGAGGGACTGCAAGAGCATGCGCGTTCGAGAGCGGGGGCTCTGTCAGTTTGCTCGAAATTGTGAAATTGAATTATTTTCTGACCTTCCCCAAGCGTAGATCATTCAGCAGTAGTGTTTACTTCACTGACACACGAGCAACCAAGGTACGTTGACCATATCGCAATCAAATACATTTTAAATGGTTTGCCTAATGTAGGCTATGCGTTCTATAAAGTTGTTTATTTATCAAAACAATTTTATCATAGCCTACATTCTATTGCCTACATTCCATGGACCTTAAATGCATTCATTGGACATAGAGTAGCCTAAGAGGAATAAGTGGTGGATAATTACTGACTATCAATTGTGTGCATAGGGTCCTGGTTATTGGAATTAACGTAATATTATTCAATGATATAGTATCAGCTAAATATTATTACATGTATTGTAGAACTGTCCTACTCTATTTTATTGAAAACATATAGTCTGTGCTTGACTTACAACATGCCAACTTGAACAAGTGTGACAGGTCAGGTTACTTCACTATCTGACATAACCTGTTGACAATTCAACCAAACATAAAACTTTGTATAAAAAAAAACAACAAGAGGTGACATTGCAAAGCTTGGTGTGAGAAAATAATATATAGGTAATGGGCAGCGAAGACAGGTGTGTGTGTACAGTGCCTTGCAAAAGTATTCATCCCCCTTGGCGTTTTTCCTATTTTGTTGCATTACAACCTGAAATTTAAATTGATTTTTATTTGGATTGCATGTAATGGACATACACAAAATAGTCCAAATTGGTGAAGTGAAATGAAAACAATAAATAACAGAAAAGTGGTGCGTGCATATGAAGCCCCTAAATAAGATCTGGTGCAACCAATTACCTTCAGAAGTCACATAATTAGTTAAATAAAGTCCACCTGTGTGCAATCTAAGTGTCACATGATCTGTCACATGATCTCAGTATATATACACCTTTTCTGAAAGGCCCCAGAGTCTGCAACACCATTAAGCAAGGGGCACCACCAAGCAAGCAGCACCATGAAGACCAAGGAGCTCTCCAAACAGGTCAGGGACAAAGTTGTGGAGAAGTACAGATCAGGGTTGGGTTATAAAAAAAGATCAGAAACTTTGAACATCCCACGGAGCACCATTAATTCCATTATTTAAAAATGGAAAGAATATGGCACCACAACAAACCTGCCAAGAGAGGGCCGCCCACCAAAACTCACAGACCAGGCAAGGAGGGCATTAATCAGAGAGGCAACAAAGAGACCAAAGATAACCCTGAAGGAGCTGCAAAGCTCCACAGCGGAGATTGGAGTATCTGTCCATAGGACCACTTTAAGCCATACACTCCACAGAGCTGGGCTTTACGGAAGAGTGGCCAGAAAAAAAGCCATTGCTTAAAGAAAAAAATAAGCAAACACGTTTGGTGTTCGCCAAAAGGCATGTGGGAGACTCCCCAAACATATGGAAGAATGTACTCTTGTCAGATGAGACTAAAATTGAGCTTTTTGGCCATCAAGGGAAACTCTATGTCTGGCGCAAACCCAACACCTCTCATCACCCCGAGAACACCATCCCCACAGTGAAGCATGGTGGTGGCAGCATCATGCTGTGGGGATGGTTTTCATCGGCAGGGACTGGGAAACTGGTCAGAATTGAAAGAATGATGGATGGCGCTAAATACAGGGAAATTCTTGAGGGAAACCTGTTTCAGTCTTCCAGAGATTTGAGACTGGGACGGAGGTTCACCTTCCAGCAGGACAATGACCCTAAGCATACTGCTAAAGCAACACTTGAGTGGTTTAAGGGGAAACATTTAAATGTATTGGAATGGCCTAGTCAAAGCCCAGACCTCAATCCAATTGAGAATCTGTGGTATGACTTAAATATTGCTGTACACCAGCAGAACCCATCCAACTTGAAGGAGGTGGAGCAGTTTTGCCTAGAAGAAAGGGCAAAAATCCCAGTGGCTAGATATGCCAAGCTTATAGAGACATACCCCAAGAGACTTGCAGCTGTAATTGGTGCAAAAAGTGGCTCTACAAAGTATTGACTTTGGGGGGGTGAATAGTTATGCATGCTCAAGTTCTGTTTTTTTTTGTCTTATTTCTTGTTTGTTTCACAACAAAAAATATTTTGCATCTTCAAAGTGGTAGGCATGTTGTGTAAATCAAATGATACAAACCCCCCATAAATCCATTTTAATTCCAGGTTGTAAGGCAACAAAATAGGAAAAATTCCAAGGGTGGTGAATACTTTCGCAAGCCACTGTATCTGTATGGGATTGTTGATTGTGTGATTGATGATTGTGTAAATAAAGTCGCTTTGGATAAAAGCGTCTGCTAAATGGCATATTATTATTATTATTATAATAGATATAGGCTTGTGTGTGAATGGTAAATAACATAATATCTCAACATCACAAATGTGAGTTTTACAGGTGACATCATGTATGTTTATACAGATGTATACTTTGGGCGAAAGTTCAATTATGTTGATGACAATAATTCGTTTTACTTGTCAGTCAGTCTGACCTCTCTACCTCGGCAGAGGGTTAGGGTTAAGATAGATGAACTTAAATTCCTAGTTTTTCTGGACGTTCGGTGCTTTTGTTTCCAGGTTATTACAATATTGTTGTTCCCTGGTCAAAGACCTAACCAATCAGACAGCTTTTCATTTATCCTCAATGCAGAAAGATAGAAAGAATCAAAACATCCTTCTATGGTGAAGAAATGACCACATTTTCCATATTTGTGGGTGCTTTGTGAATATTTGTGTGTTATCAGCTGAGCGGGGAATGCTCGCTTGGCATGAAGAAGGTACTGTACATGAAACTGGCTTTCCAGAGAATGTTGTCAGACTTACTCGTTGGTGATAAGATGTCCGTTTGGAATGCTCAGATTTGCTCTCCACTGACATAATATTTTTTCACTAGGACTCTGTTCTGTTGCAAACCACAACTAAAGTGCTTTAAGGCCCAGTGTTGATTTAGTGGAGTACAAGAGAGAAATATATGTTTACAACGGAAATAATACTATTGATGATCTATTAACTCATATCTATTATCTCTGTTGTGGCTAATTGAGAATTGTGAGAGCTATACATTACATTTCTATCTGCAACTTTCCAAGCGTTGAACACCATTGAATTCTATGTAATGTTTGTGTCATGGCTCTCTGTCGCCCTCTGTAGGCCTGACTGTGTCGCACACGATGGAGAACGGAAATCTGCTGCAACACATGCGTCACCTTCCCAAACCAACCACAGGAATATTAGGTGGGATTGAATGTGTCCGATTGCATCACTTAAGAGTTGCTCAGATCAATTGAATGGTGCATTTAGGGGCGAATCCTAACTTCCACTTAAAGCGCCATTCAGCAGTTGAAACAATAACATAGCTATTGGTAACCAGCAGAGGGATGGGGCTGGAGAAATAATATAATATAATAATATGGAGAAATGTAACCACTCTCGAATTCATAGACAGGGCTATGGATGCAAGGACTGACCATCCATGATATCAACATTATAGTTTTAACCATGTTTTGTTGACATTTAGTTTGTATACAAACATTGGAGTAAAATGAAAACAAGCTTATATTTTGGGTTCTGATAGGGTATGACAGTTGAACTAAACTCATGAGGCATTTATAAATTATATTCTTCAATAATCAATGGGTACATATAATTAATTTATAGGTCAAAAAAATGTATGTAGTAACTGCAGATTTCCCCTTTTAAGTCAAAGTTTGCTAAAATATGTATATTGGGTTTAGGGTAAAAAGCTGAACCTATATACTCTCTCCCCCCAGGTATCTCTAAACTACTTGCATGTGTCATTCCTATTGCTCAGATCACCATAGGTGAAGTAATAATTTTTATAATAAACCTTCCTTACCACTGTTGTACACTTTGAAACCCCCTCTTGCCACAACTGCCCATCCCAACCTCTCCTGCCCCTATGTATTACTGTATAGGTGCAGTGTACCTGTATGACTGCCCCCGGCAGCACTACATCCCCATTTACCTGGTGGTAATGGGGGCCTTCGGCCTGGCCCTAGCCCTGCTCTCTTGCCTACCCTGTGCCCAGGACTCAGATGGCATAGACCCCAACCCCCTGAACCACCTCTGCACCACCTGGAGCACCCTGGCCTCCTTCTTCCTCTTCTGCTGGTTCATCAGCGGTGAGTCTGAGAGACCGTGGGAGAGAGAAAGACGGTGTGGTAGGATAGAGAAAGAACACTGTGTGTGTGTGCGTGCATGCGCGCGCATGTTTGTGTGTGAATAGGAAGAGAGAGAGAGGAGGAAGCGGTCAAGCACACTTTTAACCTCTTCCAAGAACTAACTGATTCCCACCAAAAATGCAACGTTATAGTATCTCAAGCTGTGGAAGTGAAAGACTCATGAGTTTGTAACTGTTAGGAAACATTTACTGTACATAATGACAGTCTTTTCAAAATTCATACCAAAGTTCTCTCTCTCTCTCTCTCTCTCTCTCTCTCTCTCTCTCTCTCTCTCTCTCTCTCTCTCTCTCTCTCTCTCTCTCTCTCTCTCTCTCTCTCTCTCCAGGTAACGTGTGGATCTACTCCATCTATCAGCCCAACTTCAACCAGACACTGACTGAGGACCCCTACTGTAACAAGACCCTGTACCTGTTTGCCTTCTGGACCACCACACTAGCCTACGTTGTGCTGGGTCTTCTGCTGCTGGGGGGATGCTGTATGCTTGTCTGTGCCTTTGTATTGGGCAAGAGCGACCCTGATGACAACAGAGCATGAGGGAGGTGATGGGAGGAGGGGAGGAGGGGAGAGTAGAGGGCAGTAGAGGATACAGGAGAGGAGAAGAGGGGAGGAGCGGGTGTATAATGTTTACCTAACAAACTAGAGAAAACCAATGGAATCCAGTTATCGATTGGATAACAACGCAACTGTCACGCCCTGGCTCTGGGGACTATGTTATGTTGAGCCAGAGTGTAAGTCTATGTTTTGTATATCTATGTTGGCCTGAGTGACTCCCAATCAGAGGCAACGAGTGTCAGCTGGTTGTCTCTGATTGGGAGCCATATTTAACTATCGGTCTTTTCATTTTGTGTTGTGGTTTCTTGTTCCTTTTGGTTTGTGTGTATCAAAGGACTTCACGTTTCGTTCGTTGTTTTGATCGGGTGATCTGTTTAATAAATAACATGTACGCATTCAACGCTGCGCATTGGTCCTCCTCCTTAAGCGAACGTGACAGAAGAAACCACCAAGAATGGACCAAGCAGCGTGAAGAGGAGAGAGGAAGGACCTGGGATCAGGGGAGTAGGAGTTTCGGCTGGGCCACGCTAAGTGAAGAGGAGAGAGGCTGGTCTATGAAGCAATGGATCGAGAGTCTGGCGAGAGCTAGGGAGGCCTGGTCCACGGGGAGGAGAGAACCCCAGAAAATTTTTAGGGGGGGGCTCACGACGTGGACGACGGGGCAGCAGGAGGCCGCGATTGGAGCGGTCCAGCGGGTGTGAAGAGGAGGCCGCCAGGGTTAAGGGGGCCACTGGTCACAGAGGAGAGGAAAGTGTGGAGGCACGGCGAGAGGTACTGGGGTATGGGGTATTACCAGTCCGGTCCGGCCCGGTCCTGATCCCCTGCATAGGGCCAGTGGCGTGTGTCCCCAGTACGGTTCGGCCTGTTCCTGCCTCTCGCACCGAGCCTGTGGTGCGCGTGTCAGCCCTGTCCGGCCCGTTCCTGCTCTCCGTACCAAGTCGGTGGTGCGCGTCGCCAGCCCGGTCCGGCCCATTCCTGCTCTCCGCACTCAGTATGTGGTGCGTCGGTCGCCCACCGCCCAGTCCGGTCCCATCCAGCTCCCGCTTCCCCACCAGCCAAGTGGTGTGGTCGTTCAGTCCGGCCACGGGCCCGTGCCTGCTCTCCGCAACCAAGTCTATGGTGGTTTCGTCAGCCCGGTCGGCCCGTTCCTGCTATCCGCACCAAGTCTGTGGTGCGCGTCGCCAGCCAGCCGGCCATCCAAGATACCGCGCCACCAGGGTCAGGGTGCGCGTCGTCAGCCCGGTCCGGCTCATTTCCTGCTCCCCGCACCAAGCAGGGCGTGCGCTTCGTCAGCACGGTACAGGGTGCGCTTCGCAGCCCGGTCGGCCCGTTCCTCCTCACGCATCACAACCCGTGCCTGGGTCATGTCCGGAGCCGGATCCGCCGCCGAGGCGGAGTGCCCACCCGGTCCCTCCCCTGTTGTGGTGGTTTGGCGCGGCCGGAGTCCGCGCCTTTGGGGGGGGGGTACTGTCACGCCCTGGCTCTGGGGACTATGTTATGTTGAGCCAGAGTGTAAGTCTATGTTTTGTATATCTATGTTGGCCTGAGTGACTCCCAATCAGAGGCAACGAGTGTCAGCTGGTTGTCTCTGATTGGGAGCCATATTTAACTATCGGTCTTTTCATTTTGTGTTGTGGTTTCTTGTTCCTTTTGGTTTGTGTGTATCAAAGGACTTCACGTTTCGTTCGTTGTTTTGATCGGGTGATCTGTTTAATAAATAATATGTACGCATTCAACGCTGCGCATTGGTCCTCCTCCTTAAGCGAACGTGACAGCAACAGTCTTTTGCGCTAAGTACACCAAGTGTTCGGAGAAAATGAAAGCAATCCTGAAAAAAACATCCTTCTTCAGACATCCACATACAGGTCGAAAAATCCCTGTTAGGTGTATCATCTCAAACAGAGTAATCTCCTCACCTGTTCATGTGGGTAAGCCTACGTAGGATGTTGTAAGTCGCTCTGGATAAGAGCGTCTGCTAAATGATGTAAATGTAAATGTAAATGTAGGACAAACGAAAAGACAATTAAAACAACCATAGCTGAACACCGCAGCTCAATCAGGTGTAAGAACACTGATTATCCAGTAGCAGCTCACTTTGTTGAAGCAAACCATTCCACGGGCTCCCGAGTGGCACAGCCGTCTAAGGCACTGCATCTCAGTGCTTAAGGCTTCACTTCAGTTCGATTCCAGGCTGTATCACAACCGACCGTGATTGGGAGTCCCATAGAGCGGCGTACAATTGGCCCAGCGTCGTCCGGGTTTACCGGTGTAGGCCGTCATTGTAAATAAGAATTTGTTCTTAACTGACTTGCCTAGTTAAATAACAAAATCTCCTCCCTCAAATGTTGCTCTACCAAGGACCGAAGGTAACATCGAGATCAGTTTCACTCTAATCAACCTAATAATTATGACACACCCCTCACTATTGTCATTGTTTGTCTGCATAACCCTGGTTCAAGCATTCATGACATTACGCTGAAGAAGGCACAGTAATGCTGAAACATTGGTGTTTTACTCAATAAATGACTGGGAGTTTATATACATAGAGTGTGCAACTCTGTTTATTAATTTTGATAGCTTACAGTTTATTCCCCGTTAGTCAGCACCTCTACACAAAATCATTTTCTCTGGGTGTGTTCCAGCTCATGCTTGTTATTAGAGGGGCGGCAGGTAGCTTAGTGGGTAAGAGCGTTGTGCCAGTAACCGAAAGGTCGCTGGTTCTAATCCCCGAGCCAACTAGGTGAAAAATCTGTCGATGTGCCCTTAAGCAAGGCACTTAACCCTAATTGCTCCTGTAAGTCGCTCTGGATAAGAGCGTCTGCTAAATGACTAAAATGTAAATTAGAGATATTATCTACCTAGTAGCTCTAAAAAGCACTGCCAATGCTGTCCCAGAAGCTATAATAGCAAAATATATAATAGCTCTCTTTCAAACTCTATGTAACTCTCTTTCCAACTCTATCCTTAAACAGACATGTTGATAAGCTTTGTTGTCTATTCCCCCAGCATGGTTGATCCCAGCAGGTGGTACAATTGTGGGCTTGGACCACATTATGATGGGTAAATTAAGGACACTTTCAAAATACCTTTTCTAAACACAAATAAAATCATACATCGCCAACCACCCTTCAAAATAACTTAAGTTACTTCTACATCTCTAGGTGTTGTGTACTTCAATGACTACCATGTCCTTCATCTCAGTCCATTCTTGTATCCCTATCTACCTGTTGATGATTGGATCTTTATGCCTGGTCTTGGTGTTCATCTACAAGTTTAAGTTAATCTGCTGCTCATTGTATTTCTATGACTGTAGTTACATCATAATGGATGGTTGTATCACCGTAGTGGGATTCATTCTGATCATATGTATCACCCTAGGTGAGAGAGATGTCCAGTCCATGAACATGAGACCATGTTTTGATGTCAAAGGCCCTGTCCAGTGAAAATAAGAACTTCCATAGAATTACAAATGATGGGACAAAAATGCATTTCAATTCATTGGAACAGGGCCACGGCGTTATCGTCACAGCCATAGGAACCAGCCATTCTTGCATGCTTCTTAAGTCATCATGAATAATTCAGTATAATTATTATTTTCTCTTTGTCTACAGGTAATGTGATAACCTACAGTGTATATCCACCCAGCTATGATCAGAGCAAAACATACCGTGACAAACTTGTTCACATTCTCTACCTCTATCATATTGGACATTGTTAGTGCAGTGGCACAGTCTGCGTGGATTATCAAGTTCTTTCAGCCATTTGATCTCTGTGGTGATAGTTTCAGTGTTACTTTCTGTGAGTGCTGCTGGAGACGTTATGGGAAGTGTGTGCTGTAAACACGCCAAATTATGGGAGTGCTGTGGAGACTTCAAGCAATGAAACCTTGGCAGGCTGTGGGGAACGTAAGGCAACATGCCCAGCAGTTTCAAATAAATGTCATACAAGCTGACAATGTTTATGTGCTGCCTGGACAGGAGTGGTCTCATGAGTATTTGATTTTTGGTTTTGAGACTTTTTGACTAAAGGGTTTTTGACTTGCCTTGTTGCTGAACCGTCCAGTCTATTTTTCACATACTGTACATCAACACACTGGTATGGTAATAAAATCAAATAACATCTTCCCCATTGAGTTCAATGAGAAATATACAGTACATACTATATGCATTATCATTGGGAAACACTCATTTGAAGTGTTGTAATGATCTAGTGGTGTCTTGGGGACTATTTCCAAACATCCTGCCTCAATAAAGACATCAAAAAAGTAATGTAGCTCTGGTAACTCTGGCTTTAACGGTGTTAGTCTCTGAAAAGAGAAGACGGCAAACAAGATGGCTGCTAAGAATAATTCGATATGTAGGGTATGAGTTGTGTGTGTGTGTGGTCATGTGGTGTTGTAATGATTCTGCTTTGCCCTGAGGGGCCATTTCAAAACATCCTACCTCAATGGTGAAAGTTTCAAAGTTGACTAATTATGGCACAAGCTGTGAGGCTACACGGTAACGGAAAATAAAACAAATTGACAGATTCACTCCTTCACACAAAAGAGACAGGTAAGAGATACTCACAAAATAAAAAATACATATTTGATGTATTGATATACTTTTATCAACAGCTAATTTGAGGGCTCAGTGTTTATTTCCACGACATTGGACAACCATTCATTTATGATTTCAGCATTTGACATAAAGTTAATCAAGTAAGAACTGCTATCTATAGTGTGTATTTATTTTACGCTTTATTTATTAGTGGCACAGTGTATAGTAGTGAATATAAACTGCAGCTGGTATCTTTAAATGTCAGTCTTCGCTGTCTGCAATTTGGTAAATAAAAACTTTGAACCTGGAACCATCTATCAAATATTTTAAGTCTGATTGTTAGTCCATTGAAATGACAGTTCAGAGACCAATCCTGTGTCTATTCCTTTAAGATTTAAAGGACTCACAAAAGATGGAGACTTCACAGAGGTCTCCCGTTCTGTCATCCTTTCTGATCTCAATAATAGGTACAGTAGCTACCTCTCATATAACAAATGAGTGTTCAGTGTTTTCAGCATTTGTTGAGTTTGTGATCTCTCGCTCTCTCTGTTTACAGTTGTGCTGAATATCATCGTATGGATGCTTCTGATGTCAGCAGTGGGATTAGGTGTGTACCTCATATTTCCTTTCCTCCCCATAGTCCTTACTGCGAGAATGGCATTGACGGTGGATAAGATACTGCAAGATGCCTAAAGCCACCTATTGAGAGACACTGACAGACTGTATATCATCAATCTCCACTTTCTTGCTCTGACTCCTTTAGGGGCAATGCACCTACATGACTGCCCCTTACAGCCTTATCTCCCCATCTACCTGCTGGTGATCGGGGTGACGTCCGTCGCCTCCCTGCTCCTGTCCTACCTCAATAACACACTGGAGACTGGCTTCCTAAGCCTACTGTGTTCCTTCTGCATCCTCCTCCTCCAACTCTTCAACATCGGCTGGTTCATCAGAGGTAAGCAAGAGGGATGAGAAAAGGAGGTTGAGGGAAGGGAGACGGAGGTAGCAATAGACACATAGCGGCAAATCCTATCTTCCACTTCAGTCAAATGTTCACTTGCAGTCATACATTAATGTCAATGGGAGACCAACTGAAAGGATTCACAACAGTGTAGAGAGGCCAGGGGAAACAGGAAATTATATGTTGAAGTTTTGGGGCACAAACCGTGAACCAGAACACTTGAACACATGTTGCAGAATAGTCTAGCACCACCAACTTCACATTGTCATTACCAATACACAGCCTCCATAGTATGTCACAACGTAAACAGTAACGTTATTTCCCCAAATCTATATATACAGTGCATTCGGAAAGTATTTAGACCCCTTGACTTTTTCCACATTTTTTCTTCTTCGTAAAATAGATTAAATTGTTGTTTTTTTTCCCCTCATCAATCTACACACAATACCCCGTAATGACAAAGAAAAAATTGGTTTTTAGAAATGTTTGCAACTGTATAAAAAAAAAAAACGGAAATATCACATTTACATAAGTATTCAGACCCTTTACTCAGTACTGTCTTGAAGCACCTTTGGCAGTGATTACAGCCTCAAGTCTTCTTGGGTATGACGCAACCAGCTTTGCACACCTGTATTTGGGGAGTTTCTCCCATTCTGCTCTGCAGATCCTCTCAAGCTCTGTCAGGTTGGATTGGGAGCGTCACTGCACAGCTATTTTCAGGTCTCTCCAGAGATGTTCGATCGGGTTCAAGTCCGGGTTCTGGCTGGGTCACTCAAGGACATTCAGAGACTTGTCCTGAAGCCACTCCTGCGTTGTCATGGCTGTGTGCTTAGGGTCGTTGTCCTGTTGGAAGGTGAACCTTCGCACCAGTCTGAGGTCCTGAGCGCTCTGGAGCAGGTGTTCATCAAGGATCTCTCTGTACTTTGCTCTGTTCATCTTTCCTTCGATCCTGACTAGTCTCCCAGTCCCTGCTGCTGAAAAACATCCCCACAGCATGATGCTGCCACCACCATGCTTCACCATAGGGATGGTGCCAGGTTTCCTCCAGACGTGACGCTTGGCAGTCAGGCCAAATAGTTCAATCTTGGTTTCATCAGACCAGAGAATCTTGTTTCTCATGGTCTGAGTCCTTTAGGTGCCTTTTGGCAAACTCCAAGCGGGCTGTCATGTGCCTTCCATTTAAGAATGATGGAGGCCACTGTGTTCTTGGGACCTTCAATGCTGCAGACATGTTTTGGTACCCCTCCCCAGATCTGTGCCTCGACACAATCCTGTCTCTGAACTCTATGGACAATTCCTTTGACCTCATGGCTTGGATTGTGTTCTGACATGCACTGTCAACTGTGGGACCTTATATACACAGCTGTGTGCCTTTCCAAATCATATCCAATCAATTGTATTTACCACAGCTGGACTCCAATCAAGTTGTAGAAACATCTCAAGGATGATCAATGGAAACAGGATACACCTGAGCTCAATTTGGAGTCTGAAGGGTCTGAATACGTATGTAAATAAGGTATTTTTTTATACATTTGCAAACATTTCAAAAAACATGTTTTCGCTTTGTCATTTGGGGTATTGTGTGTAGATTGATGGGGGGGGGGGGGGGGGGGGGGGGGGGGGGGTTTACGTAATCCATTTTAGAATAAGGCTGTAAAAAGTCAAGGGGTCTGAATACTTTCCGAATACACTGTACGTATTATTGTCTAACATTATTCCTTGTTGTTCTCTGTATCTTAAGGGAGTGAGTGGGTGTACTCCATATTTCCCCCCAACTATGATTCGAACAGTGGAGAGAAGTACTGTCAGAGGACGATATACCTGTTTGCTTTCTGGTTCAACAGCCTGGGCAGCATCTGTATGGTTGTGGTGTTCTCCTGTGGAGTGTACTTCATCTTCCTTACCTGTGTGAAAATGGCATTTAGAGGACACCATTTATTACATTCACATAATAGATCATATGGTGTGGAAGCTTGAGAACTCTGTGGCACTGAAACCTAACTAGCATGGTTTTGCTGTTATGTGTGTGTGTGTGTGTGTGTGTGTGTGTGTGTGTGTGTGTGTGTGTGTCAAATCAAATCACATTTTATTTGTCACATGCGCCGAATATAACAGGTGTAGACCTTACAGTGAAATGCTTATTTACAAACCCTTAACCAGCAATGCAGTTTTAAGAAAGAATACCCCCCCCACCCCCCCCCCCCCCCCCCCCCCAAAAAAAAGGAAAATATATATACAGTGGCTTGCGAAAGTATTCACCCCTCCTTGGCATTTTTCCTATTTTGTTGCCTAACAACCTGGAATTAAAATTGATTTTTGGGGGGTTTGTATCATTTGATTTACACAACATGCCTACCACTTTGAAGATGGAAAATATGTTTTATTGTGAAACAAACAACAAATAAGCCAAAAAAACTGACTTGAGCGTGCATAACTATTCACTCCCCCAAAGTCAATACTTTGTAGAGCCACCTTTTGCAGCAATTACAGCTGCAAGTCTCTTGGGATATGTCTCTATAAGCTTGGCATATCTAGCCACTGGGATCTTTGCCCATTCTTCAAGGCAAAACTGCTCCAGCTCCTTCAAGTTGGATGGGTTCCGCTGGTGTACAGCAATATTTAAGTCATACCACAGATTCTCAATTGGATTGAGGTCTGGGCTTTGACTAGGCCATTCCAAGACATATAAATGTTTCCCCTTAAACCACTCGAGTGTTGCTTTAGCAGTATGCTTAGGGTCATTGTCCTGCTGGAAGGTGAACCTCCATCCCAATCTCAATTCTCTGGAAGACTGAAACAGGTTTCCCTCAAGAATTTCCCTGTATTTAGCGCCATCCATCATTCCTTCAATTCTGACCAGTTTCCCAGTCCCTGCCGATGAAAACCATCCCCACAGCATGATGCTGCCACCACCATGCTTCACTGTGGGGATGGTGTTCTCGGGGTGATGAGAGGTGTTGGGTTTGTGCCAGACATAGCGTTTTCCTTGATGGCCAAAAAGCTCAATTTTAGTCTCATCTGACCAGAGTACTTTCTTCCATATGTTTGGGGAGTCTCCCACATGCCTTTTGGCGAACACCAAAAGTGTTTGCTTATTGTTTTCTTTAAGCAATGGCTTTTTTCTGGCCACTCTTCCATAAAGCCCAGCTTTGTGGCGTGTACGGCTTAAAGTGTTCCTATGGACAGATACTCCAATCTCCGCTGTGGAGCTTTGCAGCTCCTTCAGGGTTATCTTTGGTCTCTTTGTTGCCTCTCTGATTAATGCCCTCCTTGCCTGGTCCGTGAGTTTTGGTGGGCGGCCCTCTCTTGGCAGGTTTGTTGTGGTGCCATATTCTTTCTATTTTTTTATAATGGATTTAATGGTGCTTTGTGGGATGTTCAAAGTTTCGCATATTTTTTTATAACCCAACCCTGATCTGTACTTCTCCACAACTTTGTCCCTGACCTGTTTGGAGAGCTCCTTGGTCTTCATGGTGCCGCTTGCTTGGTGGTGCCCCTTGCTTAGTGGTGTTGCAGACTCTGGGGCCTTTCAGACCAGGTGTATCATGTGACAGATCATGTGACACTTAGATTGCACAGAGGTGGACTTTATTTAACTAATTATGTGACTTCTGAAGGTAATTGGTTGCACCAGATCTTATTTAGGGGCTTCATAGCAAAGGGGGTGAATACATACGCACGCACCACTTTTCCGTTATTTATTTTTTAGAATAAAAATCAATTTCAATTACAGGTTGTAACGCAACAAAATAGGAAAAACGCCAAGGGGGATGAATACTTTTGCAAGGCACTGTACAAAAAAACATATATATATATATATATATATATATATATATAAATTAAACAAATAATAAGAAATAAAAATAACAAATAATTAAAGAGCAGCAGTAAAATAACAATATGAGGCTGTATACAGGGTGTGTGTGTGTGTGTGTGTGTGTTTGTGTTTGTGTGTGTAGTGGTGCCTGGAGAAGTGGGTATACAATCATTTTGCAAAAAAAATCCCAAACGGTCTGCCCGGTGAAGGAACGTCGCCCTGTGTGAAGAAAAAAAATTGTATAGTTTCTTCAGGTTTTCACTTTTAATCACAATTATTTATTTTTTAATTTTTTTAAACCATATCAGGAGACCATTTTGAGGTCTGGGAAAAATCTAAAAAATTCAGTTGCACACCTAGCAAGATACCTTTTGGCTAGCGGTGTTTCTGTAGCTTAGTGTACAACAATGTAGACCTACGGTGTAAATGTGATGGCAGAGTTTGCAAAAAAATTTAAATGCCCTCCCAATTGATACAAATCATCATGATATCATTCTGTCAGGTAGGCCTACTTTGCAGTCATCATTTAATTGGGAAGGTTTTTTGGTTAAGCCTTTAGACATTTTTATTCAAACAGCGCATGATGACAGAATTGCTCATCGCAAAGATTCAACCAAGACTACGGACCAAACGTTTTCAATATCAGGTTTGCATACCCATTGTTGCCTTAGTTTGCATTTACTGGTAGATATCATAAGTTGAAACTTCTTTCCTACCTACCTTACCCGATGTCATTCTTCTGTGAGCTGCTCCATGCGACAAACGCTTGAGAGCTGCGTGCTCTTCTTCTTCTCCTTCTTTAACTTTGTATTGGCTGATCGCAAGTGAGTGTGAGGGTGTGATGCCAGTCATAGCCTCCCTATTCATAAATGTATCTTATCTAGTCCTGTGTTTCCGCCTACTGTTCTGGAGTGTGAATTCATTACAGTTTGTGACACAAAAAGGGAAGGGAAAAAGGACTGGGGAAAATTGCCCTACCAACTAACCCTACAGCCATTAAAACCTCACCACTATTCCACTACTTGGCCCTATCTGATCCTACACCAGGCTGGCAGCCTGGGAAGACGGGTCATTATCGTTCAACACACCTTGTAACTCTTCTGCAGTAAAATCTCGTACACCCAAGTACTTCTCTGCAGCTGCCACCACAACATATATTTTCTGTGATTTACGTTCCATTTCTGCAGTACAGTT